TACTGTCCTTGGTCAGTTATTTATGTTTCTATAATCAGAGGGTTTATACTTTCCTTGATCAGTTATTTATGTTTCTATAATCAGAGGGTTTATACTTTCCTTGATCAGTTATTCATGTTTCTATAATCAGAGGGTTTATACTTTCCTTGATCAGTTATTTATGTTTCTATAATCAGAGGGTTTATACTGTCCTTGATCAGTTATTCATGTTTCTATAATCAGAGGGTTTATACTGTCCTTGATCAGTTATTAATGTTTCTATAATCAGAGGGTTTATACTGTCCTTGATCAGTTATTTATGTTTCTATAATCAGAAGGGTTATACTTTCCTTGGTCAGTTATTTATGTTTCTATAATCAGAGGGTTTATACTGTCCTTGATCAGTTATTTATGTTTCTATAATCAGAGGGGTTATACTTTCCTTGACCAGTTATTCATGTTTCTATAATCAGAGGGTTTATACTGTCCTTGGTCAGTTATTTATGTTTCTATAATCAGAGGGTTTATACTTTCCTTGATCAGTTATTCATGTTTCTATAATCAGAGGGTTTATACTGTCCTTGGTCAGTTATTCATGTTTCTATAATCAGAGGGTTAATACTGTCCTTGATCAGTTATTTATGTTTCTATAATCAGAAGGTTTATACTGTCCTTGGTCAGTTACTTATGTTTCTATAATCAGAGGGTTTATACTGTCCTTGATCAGTTATTTATGTTTCTATAATCAGAAGGTTTATACTGTCCTTGGTCAGTTACTTATGTTTCTACAATCAGAGGGTTTATACTTTCCTTGATCAGTTATTTATATTTCTATAATCAGAGGGTTAATACTGTCCTTGATCAGTTATTTATGTTTCTATAATCAGAGGGTTTATACTTTCCTTGATCAGTTATTTATGTTTCTATAATCAGAAGGTTTATACTGTCCTTGGTCAGTTATTTATGTTTCTATAATCAGAGGGTTTATACTGTCCTTGATCAGTTATTTATGTTTCTATAATCAGAGGGTTTATACTGTCCTTGGTCAGTTATATATGTTTCTATAATCAGAGGGTTTATACTGTCCTAGATCAGTTATTTATGTCTCTATAATCAGAGGGTTTATACTGTCCTAGATCAGTTATTTATGTTTCTATAATCAGAGGGTTTATACTGTCCTTGATCAGTTATTTATGTTTCTATAATCAGAGGGTTTATACTGTCCTAGATGAGTTATTTATGTTTCTATAATCAGAAGGTTTATACTGTCCTTGATCAGTTATTTATGTTTCTATAATCGGATGGTTTATACTGTCCTTGATCAGTTATTTATGTTTCTATAATTAGAGAGGTTATACTTTCCTTGATCAGTTATTTATGTTTCTATAATCGGAGGGTTTATACTTTCCTTGATCAGTTATTTATGTTTCTATAATCAGAGGGTTTATACTTTCCTTGATCAGTTATTCATGTTTCTATAATCAGAGGGTTTATACTGTCCTTGGTCAGTTATTTATGTTTCTATAATCAGTGGTTTTATACTTTCCTTGATCAGTTATTCATGTTTCTATAATCAGAGGGTTAATACTTTCCTTGATCAGTTATTTATGTTTCTATAATCAGAGGGTTAATACTTTCCTTGGTCAGTTATTTATGTTTCTATAATCAGAGGGTTTATACTGTCCTAGATCAGTTACTTATGTTTCTATAATCAGAGGGTTTATACTTTCCTTGATCAGTTATTTATGTTTCTATAATCAGAGGGTTTATACTGTCCTTGGTCAGTTATTTATGTTTCTATAATCAGAGGGTTTATACTTTCCTTGGTCAGTTATTTATGTTTCTATAATCAGAGGGTTTATACTGTCCTTGATCAGTTATTTATGTTTCTATAATCAGAGGGTTTATACTTTCCTTGATCAGTTATTTATGTTTCTATAATCAGAGGGGTTATACTTTCCTTGGTCAGTTATTTATGTTTCTATAATCAGAGGGTTTATACTGTCCTTGATCAGTTATTTATGTTTGTATAATCAGAGGGTTTATACTTTCCTTGGTCAGTTACTTATGTTTCTATAATCAGAGGGTTTATACTGTCCTTGATCAGTTATTTATGTTTGTATAATCAGAGGGTTTATACTTTCCTTGGTCAGTTACTTATGTTTCTATAATCAGAGGGTTTATACTGTCCTAGATGAGTTATTTATGTTTCTATAATCAGAGGGTTTATACTTTACTTGGTCAGTTATTTATGTTTCTATAATCAGAGGGTTTATACTGTCCTTGATCAGTTATTTATGTTTCTATAATCAGAGGGTTTATACTGTCCTTGATCAGTTATTTATGTTTCTATAATCAATGTGTGGCTTGTTTGATCTGAGTTTTGTATTGTTCAAAATTCTTTAATCATATCATGCCAAATTTTCTTGATTTCCTCTAAATTTACTATTGTCATGATTGTGATGTCATCAAATAGGCAAACGTAACCTAATGATGTCACATAAAAACATGAAAAGAAACAAATTTTTGCAGACAATTAGAAATGAAAGATACAGTTGGTCTACTATAATATCGTCTAAAAAATCAAAAGAAAAACAAAATTCACCATTGTTCCCATGCAATACAATAATTATCCACTTTCAACTGTTTTCAAATTCTTTATTTAAAACACTCAACAAGCATAATGTTTTAAGTTAAAAAATTAACTGTATACAACTGTAAAAATATGGTATTACACTCTACAATGCTCATGATGCTCTATGCAGTGGTAGAATCTATACGAACCACCAGGCAAGTAATGTACATGTTTTTCAAATTCAATTATTATATTTTAGGATTAAAGACAAGTCTGATTGTAAAATCATGCTACGGTGCTGGGGTATCTTAATTGCTCAGGCTAGGAATACAAAGGGATATTCAATATATTACCTCAGTTGTACTTGAAGTTCCTGTTCATTCCTTTATTTATATATGTAGACAATATGTTAATACAAGACAATTACTGTAAACTAACTTTAATACTTTTGTGGATACTTTATTTCACTTTTAGTTCTTTCTAGCCGACTTCCCAGCTATTCATTTTCATGATGAATTGTATGGAAGGGAATATCCACCAAAATTATACATTTCTTAATTTGTAAAATGCAATTTCTTAATTTGTAACATGCAATTTCTTAATTTTTACAATGTAATTTATTAATTTGTAACCTGTATTTTTTCCATCCGTTACATGAATTTCTTAATGTGTAAATGCAATTTCTTAATTTGTTGACGTATTTTCTTCTTTGTTCCATGAAATTCTACATTTCTTAATTTGTGAAATGTAATTTGTTTGTTTGAGTCATGTTTTGGGAGAATGTCTCAGTGTAATTGTTACTGCTGCAAGCCAATGAGAAGTTCAGTTTCTCAAAAAAAACTATAAGTTACAAATCATGTACAATGATGTAGGATGAGTTGCATCTAAAAAGTGTATACTAAATAGTATCCCATTTTCAAAGTTTAGGAGTGCTGAAGCAGTGTTAAACACTCATCAATCAATCAATCAGTCAATTCAAGTTCAGGGGCATAATTCTAGAATTTTTCAAAGAAACAAAAAACCTTCTCACTTCAAAGTTGACACATCATCATATGCACAGTAGTATAAAACAATTAGTTTTCCAAAATTGGGGATGCCATGATTAAGTGATCATACCATATGACTCATGTCCCCACACATGTTTCTTCCCACTATTTGTTCAATTATTAAACAGAAAAATTAATACATGTAACGTGACGGTACCCAAATTGCACCTATTTTGGCAGTTTTTTTCATCTACGTTTATATATGATCCAGACAAAAGTTTCCATTCTGTGTTTATTTTGTAGATGTATCCATTTTTTCTACATAGTTACACCAATTTAATTCTGAATCCATATTGAATCATAGAAAAATGGGTTTGAACCGACCTCCAAACGATCCATGATGATGATTCTGTAATGAGGAGTACCCAAATTGCATCCCTGCTTAAATTCACATCCTTAAAAATTGAATAACAGATGTTTTGTTTTATTTCTTCAAATATTTAGAACAATTTGACATTAGTCCATGCTTAGTATTCATTTTTTAAGAAATGGATGCTTGTAACATTTTTTTGGCTCATTTTTAAAAAATGACTTTTTGTGGACGTCCCATGGCGACCTTTCGGTAGATTTTACTTTTTTCAGTGAATGCTTCATCTGTTGATATATACTGTGAAAGTTTGGTGTAAATTTAAATATATTTACCTATGTTGAACATGTTGAAAGACGTGTATAATGTCAAATCATAAACATACAAATTGTTTAGTCCCAAAGAAAACTTATAAGATTTCCGCTGATATTTTTGCTCAATAGGTGCAATTTGGGTACTCAGTGCAATTTGGGTATTGTGACGTTAGCTTACAATCTAAATCAGATCTAACAAAGCAGAATTTTTGCAAATAAAGCAAAAATATTTGTCTGAAGATGGTAAACAGCATTTTGTATTTTTGGAAAGCTTTAGTACTTTGTATTTGACCAGATTATATTCTTTCCTATGTTGATATCACCAGTTAATAAAAAAATAATTGGTATTATTCTCTTTTAAAATTTATTCAACTCTGTAGCCATTTTCACAAGCAATATTATGAGGGAAAACTAGCGAGTAATGAACAATTTAGAATAGCTTATGATCAAAGATATTTGAATAAATAGTGAACAACAAAATCCTTGAGACGTTGTCAGTCATATAACAGTATAATATTAAGTGACACAATTAAATTATGTGTCACCACGACATGGGACATCAGGTCATATGATTAAATTTCAGATTTTTTTAAATTATGGGTTCAATATATTTATTGCATTAACAAACATATTTTACATGTATACATTTTACCACTTTAAACATTAAAGACCCAGGCGAGCGGTGGTTACAACTTACAGTCACTTGAAACATGACCATGTTAGCTTGTTGACGTTGTTCATCGTTCAGAAACGTGAAATAAAAATACTTTATATTTTACCTGGACTGTTCAATGAATTTACGTTCACTTTCTGAGAGGCTGTCAATTCCTGCAGAGCTACATCGGTGTGATGTCCGAACTGTAACTCTTGGCAGGAGACTGTCGGCTTCACTCATCTTTTTCGACTGTCAACAAACTGGTTCTTAATCAAATGACTTCGAAGTCATAAGTACCAGTTTCGCGCGGAAATTAAAATTGTTACGAAGTTGTGAATATAAGCTCCGACCCAGGTATCTTATTTTAAGTAGATTGACTTGTGGGCATTTCCCAACACATTTTTTTACACATTAGAAATACATGTCAAAAGAAGATCGGGACCATCCCTTTAGTTATTCGTGACATTTGAACAAACTGAATGGGGATAAAAGAGGGGAGTGTAAAAACTTAGTTTTTGCTTTATTAAAACAAATTGTGGCTTTTTGTTAAAAATCTAATTGATTCCAAATGTTAAAAGAAGATGTAATAACTTTGGAAAACAAATGGCTGTTAAAACCTACTTAAATTTCGTTAAAAAATCACAAATTTATTTTCATTCAGTTTGAGAAACATCTCAGTTTTTCTTCTAGGATTTAAGAAAAAAACTATCAAAATTGTTTTGTTCTAGGATTTAAGAAAAAAAAAACTATCAAAATTGTTTGCCGTTATCAGAAATGGATTTTTTTGCCATAAAAACATAGTTTGGTTAACAGTTCACATTTATTTTTAGAAACAAAATAATTCTTTTGGTACTATGCAGTTCAAACGTGCAGCTGGGACTATTATACTATAGGAATGCCTTTACTATAATATAGTATAATAGTCCCAGAACGCAGTGCTATTTTTTTGGCGAGATATTTTTGATAAAATGTCTGCTTTGAATGCGAATAAAACAGATGAAAATGATATTCTTAGAGATGTTTTATGTTAAGACAGGACATTTTATGTTTTCTTTAATTTTCTCTATTTTCTATTTGTTTTCCCATTCGTGATTCTATATACTGTAAATCCCATCCGGTCCTTGTATATGAAGCATCGCCGTTTAGCAGATGTCTAGCCTGGAATTCTGCCCAAACATCCTCTTCGAGTCTACTGTTGAGCAGTGAGCCAGGATCCAATGCTAATCAGGGGTGACGTCGATCTTCATTGTGTGCAATCTGTTGTAGCCGGTCACCTGATCGGCCAAGATTTTGTTCAATGTTTTTCTTTGTATCGATCTGATGAGTTGAGCCTTTTTCAACTGAATTTTATAGTTTGTTCTTATGTTGTGCTGTTACACGACTGTCCCAGGTTAGGGCGCTCACAAACATGTTTAACCCCGTCACATTCTTTATGTGTCCCAAGTTAGGAGCCTATAGTTCAGTGCATGGTTGTCGTTGGTTCACGTCTCATATTTGTTTTTAGTAAATTGTTTTGTTATAAATAAGGCCGTTAGTTTTCTCAATTGAATTGTTTCATATTTTTCATGCCGCCGGGGCCTTATATAGCCGACTATACGGTATGGACTTTTCTCATTGTTGAAGGCCGTACGGTTGTCTATAATTGCTTACATCCACTTTATTTGAACTTTGGTGGATAATTGTCTCATTGGCAATCATATCACATCTCTTTATTTTTATGTTGTTGGTGTTTTTCAATCAAGGGAAATGGCAACAAATCAACGATTATAAGATAATTTAGTATTCCACTTATCGGGATAAAAGAGGGGGTTGAGATCTCTTAATGTCGTAATTATAACGAGTTCATGAACTAAAGGTGCTTATAAAGTGCGAAACGAAATAGAAACGAAACTTGACAAAAAGAAAAGAAATAAATAAAATAAACGAAAAAACAAAACGAGACGAAAAAGGAATCAAAGAAACGAAAAGTAATAAAATATTTTTTTTTTAAAATAGGCTGAACGACATGAAATGAATCAAAATACTATATTATGAAAACGAAACAAACATGTTCACCCCTTTCCGTTTAGTGTTTAGAATGGGATGTAAAAGAAATAAAACAAAATTGTTAGTATGAAACTGATGAATTATGTTTAACGTTCATGGGCAAATACTACATACACATCGGGACGCCGATACGTTTATAAAGAAATAAGGAGATGTGGTATGGTTGCCAGTGAGACAACTATCTATACCAAAGTTCAAATGAAGTGGATGTAATCAATTATAAACAACAGTACGGCCTTCAACAATGAGAAAAAAAACCATACCATATAGTTGGCTATAAAAGGGACAGACATGGAAAATATGAAACAATTCTATTGAGAAAACTAACGTTAATGCGATTTGAATAAGAATAATAATGTTTATTGTTTCAATTAAGATCCCTTAATGGACAGCATGACGACATTCACATACAAAACATTACACTATGATTTCTTGCAAAACCTCACGTTTTAATGAAATATTATTAAATGATATGAGCAATATTGATGACGTCGCACTGTTGCTATAAATAAATAGTCAATATTGTTTTTCGGCCCGGTCCGAAAAATCGTATTAGCCCATTACATAAACAGTGATTTGCATTGTAGAATATGAGGCTTATCTAGTTTTTTTTCTGTCACAATTTGCTATAGCTTATAATTTCAACTTCTAAATGTTAAAACAGTATTCGAATTAAGAAATACAAACCAAGTAGCACATGTATTATAGATTGAGCACATTTTAGTATTATATCTATTTCTCTTTTCCCTCTTACAACTGTAAATTTATCTTTTTAAACGAAATGTTTATGTCAAATATAATTGAGTACTTACAGGGCTATCTCCGACATTTATGCTAAAATTCCCTCCTTATGAGAATATAGAATAATTCTTCAGTTGCTCCCTACAAATACAGTAAACGAAGTGTGATGTGGGGAGTTAAAAGCTGGTCGTTTATTGAATTATAGAGAGAAAAAAATGAATTATCAGATTTTGTAATTAATTTAAAGTTTCACTGCAAATCTTTTTTTATCGAAAAACAAGAATTATCAAAGAGGATACACAAGGTCGGAAAATAATTATAATTTGTACACCTGGAAATGTGCCATTCAATAATATAACACAATGTTTTATTTAGTCTGAGGTTTATGGGTTGGTGGTAGTTAATAAATCCTACTTTATCTCAGATAATTAGCTCAGATAATCAGCTCAGATAAACCGGATTTATCTTAGATTAATCCTGAATTATCTCACTATCTTGCATTATCTTCTTTTATTTGGCTGTGCGATAAAATATATATATATTACCAGAAGTCCATTACTAGGGGAAGTGTGCAAGCTGTACTATATTGCTGGGCGATCACATAAACTGGTCCGCCATTCCATCTAAATCTCCACACCGAAGGAACGGGTTGGAGCCATTGTCACATTGGCATTAATTGGACGAGTCTTACAAATTCAACGATTCGCTACGAAATTGACCATTTATATTGACAGGAACTTGACCTCAAATGTTAATACTGCGATGCCGCAAAATAAATGAGTTAGTTAATTAGTTAATTTACCCCATGGTGGCAGCGCAGATAAATGCCCTACGAGCGTGTTATCATATTCTTGACAAACTTTTATAGCTGACTGTGCGGTATGGGCTTTGCTCATTGTTGAAGGTCGTACGGTGACCTATAGTTGTTAATTTCTGTGTCATTTGGTCTCTTGTAGAGAGTTGTCTCATTGGCAATCATACCACATCTTCATTTTTTTATATGAGTCGGTATCTTTCATTTCCTTAAGAACTCAGTAGGGATATAAATGTGCTAGTTTCTCGTTTGATTTCCTATCAATATAATACATAATAAACACTAAACTGGTCCGCCATTCCATCTAAATCTCCGCACCGTACCTGTTGTTATAGTAGCGATAAGTGAACACAACAGGGGTCCAGTTTAGGCGATCACACTGTCCCCGTTATCAATGGAAAGCGCTATATATATGTGGTCCTCCCAAATCTCGTTTTTCAACTATGGAATCATGAGTAGAAATGTTATCATCAAACGGATGGCTGTTAATAAGTCTCCTTTAGAGTTTGATTAATTATCAGTTTGTTGAAAATAAAATGAGCTTACTTAGTGCGGTAGTTTCTTATTGCCAATTATTTAAAACTTTATTTTCAACATTTAGAAAATGATATGAAATTTTATAAAAGAATACATTGGTACCATTTATCATTAAATTGCGCATGAGGCAAATCAAATCTGCCATAACTAAACATGCATCGTCTATTTAAAAGATATAGTTGTTTTTGTCAAAATATAGTCATAATTGCTTCCATTTTTAAATAGAACTGTGTGTTGATAAATTATGTATCGGTTTTAATATTTAAAGCACTAAGGAAGCTATATACCGTGATGTATAAGCGGAAGACAGCTAGGTTTCTTTTTTGTTAGTACAGACATACATTTGTCAAAAATAACCAAATATTTGTTGCTGCAGATGGCTTCAAAACAATTTCGAATTTCGAAAGTCTCTTGTTTTTAATCTTTTTTTGAAGTAAAAGGCACACTTTAGTAGTAATTTACTCCGGTCTTTTCGTCTGATTACGCTCTCCCTCAAGAGATGTGCGCAAGTCATCAACGCAACGTCCATATAGTCCTTTTTTATGTCGTTTTATAAACACAAGACTGTCCCCCTCAAGACTGAAGACACCTCAGGCTTGAATATCATTCGAATTTACGTTTTGATTTATTGCGTGTTGCTTGCTAACTTTCAGTGGCAAATATTTCATGCATATCCCATCAAAAGAGTTGTCGCAAGTGTTATTTAACATGCAGAGAGCAGAGCATTCATCTTGTATATATGCGAGGCTCTGGATTTACGACGTACTTCTTCCGACCTGACGTGGCTGCTAATTTATACATCCCACGCTTGTAATAATTAAAGGATTTTACTGTAGGAACTGGACAATTCCATGGATTACCATATTTCTATACCCAACTCAACCCTTAAGATTGGTTTAGTACTTGAACAAATTAAATCAAATTGTCCTACAGTAAGACTTTATCATAATTAAGTATGAGGAATACTTACATATAGATTATATATTCCTTACTTATTTGTTTACAAAGATCGTGATTGCAACTTTTCCTACAATCTTAACCTATAACATTTATATTCAAACACACGGGTTGTGTTTGACATGTATTTTAACGGATAAATAATACAATATCCGACCTAAATGACAACCCT